GGACTGAACAGCAAAGGACTTGAACCTGAAACCCTGGACTTATGATTAGACACCATTTTGCTAGTTGACATTGAACAAATTACTTAAAATCAAGACTCATACCTTCTTTTAAAACTAGTGGATAACATGACAAGCGTACACTAATTTTTTAAAATTCGAAACACCTGTCTTTTGGAAGTATGGAATAGAACAAATATATATTTAATGAATTAAGCACGCAGGAAGCAGGTAATTTAGTGGGACAGAATACATTGTGATTATCGTTTAATATAGCAGAGATAAATGCCAAAATATACAAATCAAAGTTTGAAAACATGTATTACACACTCAGGGAGAAACGTGATCTGCTAATGAGCAATGACATGTCCAGCACTTAATATGGTCATTCTCAAATCCGAGGACCTTGAAACTGCTTCAGCACTCTGCACTCCGTGGTTAATACTTGGTAAAAACTAAATTCAGTGGTACCTCAGTTCTTGAACTCATTAGAACTCGAACCAACCAGTTCGAAAAAAAAATACCTAGAGCTCGATCTGAATCTCAGAAATCAAACTGTAAACACAGACCTAAGATAACTTGTATGCGCCGGGAAATGAGTCACGCAGCACGTCTCTCAGCGGAAACAAAGGGGTAATGCTTCAGTCTCAGCCTCGCATTCGCTGCGATAGCATCGTGCATGTTTACACTAGCTGAATACATATATTTAGACAGTAAAAATACATTTAGACAATGATAGACAGTAACTGTAATTATTATTATATAATAAAATACATTTTAAAATAAAGATTTCTTATTCATTATTTTAATATTAATAATAAACCATACATTTAATTATAATAATATTGTCGTGCTGAGCAGGGATGGAACGGAGACAAAGGCGCAGACGTCAGGGTATCGGGGAATACGGGGTTTAATTACAGGTAAGTCAGGCAAAACGCAGACAGACAATACAATGACTGGACTGGGGAAACAAACTGAAACGCGGACGAAATACAGAGGACTAATGACAACAACCAGAAACAGCTTATCACACGGAGATTCCACACAGGATTAACGAGGGGGCGTGGCACACGGAAGGAGCGGACCATCGGGGCAGGACACATTCTTTTTTTTTTTTTTTGAACTTTACACATTATTTGGATACATTTATTTTCTTACTTTACAAATTACTGTTTTGATAAATGTGCTTAGATGTGTTTAGTACAGTATATGCTCTTCTTGTTTTATCCAGTTCACTTTGTGTTTAAATGCTAAAAAAACACATATTTAGGTGTATTTTTTGGGGACGGGAACCAATTAATTGGTTTTCCATTATTTCTTATGGGGAAAATTCGATCAGAACTCGAACTTTTTAGGATTCAATCTGGAGATCTGAACGGATTAAGTTCGAGTTCTGAGGTACCACTGTATCTCTTAAAGTGCTGCCATCTGCTGGCAAGCTTTGATAATTCACAGCAATGAACTATGATACTACAGCTACAAGTATTAAATACTTATGAAGAAACTTATGAAAACATTAAGTATGTTACTGCACTGCAGCCTATGTGAGATAAACGAAGAATTAAAGACATTTGCTCTTAATAAAAGTCTAAACTCCAATATTTTTTGGCTGACAAGCCTTAGATTTTATACCACCTCTAAACCTGTTTCATTAAAAATCAATAACTAATGCAAAGTAAGTATTGGAGAAATTCTTGTCCCAGCTCACTCTGGTATTAATATTCCTGAAAGCACAGTGCTTTTTTACGAAATATTTTTTTTTGTTTCATTAATTTTCAAAACAAAATTTCAAAAAAAAAAAAAAAAAAAAGCTATCTGACTTCTTCAAATGATGGTGTTTTTCATAGTTTTTGCAAAATGACATTACACCCACTTGGTTTCTTTCTTTATCAAATGCACGATTCCACTTCTGCCAGCTGTAAGATTTTTTGCATTCATCCATTCAGAAATAAGAAACCAGGTAGTAGTCGACTGAAAACTGCCAGCTGTATCAACAGCACATTTATCCACAACAACTTCAGTGGCACAGTCAGACTTATATATAATTAAAATTTTTATAAATATTTACATTGTACCTATTTCACAGCTAGTTTGTACCGCCATCAGTTATGACCCAGGTCACTGTGTTTTAATGGATTTACAGACAGTGCTAAAATTATACTTTTCAATACTGACATAAGAACATAAGAAATTTAAGAGAGGAGGCCTCTTTACAAAAAAAGATCATAAAAAACACTGGTGTCATTTTGTTTACAAACTGTACTCCCTCTGACTTAAAATTACAGTAGTAAATGTCCCAGACTTAACACTACAGCTATATGTAATATACAGTTCAACCAAATATACATTAACCTTTGCATATCACCTATAAAAAATTAAAACACCCTAATAAACAGACTTTTTCAAATTCACAGTGTATTGAGGTTACCAAGTACATTCCCAAGTTGGTGAGGCTGTACTGCCCTCTATCGGTAATTTCGAACATTACACCCAATTCGCAAAATAAAAACAAGTGGAAATACACTGTTAAAAAAAATTTAAGGAACACTTTTTAATCAAAGTATAGCATCAAGTCAATTAAACTTCTTGGATATTGATGTCGTCAGTTAAGTAGCAGAGGGAGTTGTAAATTTGTTTCAGCTGCTTTGGTGTTAATGAAATTAACAACAGGTGCACTAAAGGGGCAACAATGAGACGACCCCCAAAACAGGAATGGTTTAACAGCTGGAGGCCACTGACATTTTTCCCTCCTCATCTTTTCTGACTGTTTTTTCACTAGTTTTGCATTTGGCTACAGTCAGTGTCACTACTGGTAGCATGAGGTGATACCTGGACCCTACAGAGGTTGCACAGCACAGTCCAACTCCTCCAGGATGGCGCATCAATACATGCCAATTGCCAGAAGATTTGCTGTGTCTCCCAGAACAGTCTCAAGGGCATGGAGGTGATTCCAGGAGACAGGCAGTTACTCTAGGAGAGCTGGACAGGGCCATAGAAGGTCCTTAACCCATCAGCAGGACCAGTATCTTCTCCTTTGTGCAAGGAGGAACAGGAGGCACATTGCCAGAGCCCTACAAAATGACCTCCAGCAGGCCACTGGTGCGAATGTCTCTGACCAAACAATCAGAAACAGACTTCATGAGGGTGGCTTGAGGGCCTGACGTCCTCTAGTGAACCCTGTGCTCACTGCCCAGCACTGTGGACCTCAATTGGCATTTGCTGTAGAATACCAGAATTGGCAGGTCCGCCACTGGCATCCTGTACTTTTCACAGACGAGAGCAGGTTCACACTGAGAACATGTGACAGATGTGAAAGGGTCTAAAAAGTTATGGAGAACATTATGCTGTATGTAACATTGTTCAGCATGACCGGTTTGATGGTGGGTCAGTGATGGTCAGGGGAGGCATATCCATGGAGGGACACACAGACCTCTACAGGCTAGACAACAGCACCTTGACTGCCATTGGGTATCGGGATGAAATCCATGGACCCGTTGTCAGACCCTACGCTGGTGCAGTGGGTCCTGGGTTCCTCCTGGTGCACGACAATGCCCAGCCTCATGTGGTGAGAGTATGCAGGCAGTTCCTGGAGGATGAAGGAACTAATAGCATTGACTGGCCCCCATGCTCGCCTGACCTAAATCCAACAGAACACCTCTGGGACATTATGTTTCAGTCCATCCGACAGCGCCAGGTTGCACTTTAGACCGTCCAGGAGCTCAGTGATGCCCTGGTCCAGAACTGGGAGGAGATCGCCCAGGACATCATCCGTCGTCTCATTAGGAGGATGCCCCCATGTTGTCAGGCATGCATACAAGCACGTGGGGGCCATACAAACTACTGAGTACGATTTTGAGTTGCTGCAATGAAATTTCGGCAAAATGGACTAGCCTGCCGCATCATTTTTTCACTTTGATCTTCGGGGTTTCTTTGAATTCAGCCCTTTGTAGGTTGATAATTTTCATTTCCATCAAACAATGTGGGATCCTTTCTTATCAGTATAGATATCCAGCATGATTTTTTTCCCATTGAGATCTGATGTGTTTTCAAAGTTGTTCCTTTAATGCAAAAATCCAGTCCAAGATTTTTTTCCCCAACTAACCAGCTGAGTATAAAGAGTAACAGTCACAGAGTACTCAACTGGTTGGTTGACACAAAATCTTGGCCTGGATGTTTAGTTTCTGTACCTAAACTATCTACCTCTATACATTTGCTACAATTTATTCATCCCCAAATTCTCTTCACCCACCCCATCTCGCTCTCCATGAGACACACAGACATATGCAGGTGAGAGTAAGCTTGGGGGTCACAGCAAAGGTTCAGCCAGTGTGTAGCACCCCTGGACCTGAAGGTTAAGGGCCTTACTCAAGGGCTCAATGGACATGTGACTATACTGCTGAGGTTGGGACTCAAACCAGCGAGCTTCCAATCACAGGTACAGAGGCTTAGCCGTGATCATTTTAAAACCAAATAATGTCGAAATGCTGGACATTTGTCTTATCAGATTAACTGAAATACCTATAGCTTTACATACATCGAAGAAATTCAGGCTAAGTTTTGCATAAATTCTGGACCTTGTTTAGGCTTAGGGTAAATGTCGTCATCTGGCAGGGGTCCTCTTGGTAGATTTCGCTTGATCATCAGTTACAGCACTTAGAACATCAAAATGGGGACACTTTTACTTATTTGGGCATATGGAGCAGGTGCTTAGTTTCTAGGTGGGGGGGNTCTGGTGTTTTCTTGTCCCCATTTGCCCCACATTGTGCATTTTGATCTGTATCAACCCATAAACATTCAAAGCTTCGTCTTCTAAAGCCTTTCTGAAATTTCAATGGTGGCATTACAGCGAAGTGTTTAACCAGCAATGCAGATGGCGGAACCACGCCATAAGCTTCCAGGCTAGATTGGGTTTCACATCTATCTATCTGCCCCACCTGTAAATGTGCAGAGTCAGTAACACATCCTTCAGGGAGAGAGAAAATAAAACCCATTGTTCTTCAGAACTGAATTTGTTTTATTAAGTAATGGATCTGCGGGATTCTGAAACCAGTGAAAATGAACAATTCACATTTTCTGCATCCACCTTTATTGTGACTGTGGTACATGGTGGACCTCTATAATTACCATATTTATCAACTACAGTAAAAAAAGAAAAACGGCCAATAAAAATGTAACACAAAACAAACCAAACAGCTTTCTCTGCATACCAAAAAAACATTCAGATTACAAATGCTTTGCTATCGCCATTGAGGTAAGTCAAAATCCAGAAAAAAACTGCTTCTTAATACAAAAACTGAGAATTAACTGAAGTGCACGATCTCCCACAGAAATTAAATCTAGCCCACCCTGAGTGGAGGAGCCACAAGGACGACTCCATCCCCCCGAACAAACAGCATCGGAATGTTCCTCTTCGTAGACTGCAAAACAAAATGGATATTTCAAAACGAAATCCTGCAAAAAGTACCGGACATGTATTCAAGTTATAATCAGCCGATGACCCCCTTAGTGCTCACATCAAGGCAGAAAATATTATTTCTACATCAGAAACAGGGATAAAACACATTATTTTCAAGGCTTTGTGTAACTGAACAAATCTTCCATCTCTCTATATGATAATATTTCAATAAGTATAGACCATACGGAAGAATAGGTTCTGTCCTGTTTCCTCAGAGGCATACACAGCCTTAAGCAAGCGACAGCACCAAGTCATCAATCTACATCACACCCATAATGCAGATATTTATTGTGTAAACAATGGCACTTAAATTGTCACCAAAAGTCTTAAACCAAAAGCTACCCCTATAAACATCACTAGACTGAATGAGCATACTAATTTCACACAATAAGAAAAACTAAATCTTTAGCTAGAATATGAACTGCTACCAGACACAAGCAATCCAAGACCATTTAAGTAAAAAATGCCTTTTATTACTTAGTAAGTTAAGAAATTAGTACTAATCGTATCGTAAAATTAATAATATAATTCCAGGATAAAGGCAAGGCCTAGTTATAATGATTGTCCACCTGCCTGTTGATTACTAGTTTAGTTGTGAGTAGGGCTGTCACAATCATGAAATTTTAGTTGCTGATTAATTGTCATTAAAAAAATTATTGCAATTAAGGATTTAATTGTCTTTTTCTGTTTTATATCATTATCAGCCTGAAGTTAACCTAATCATAGTTTAATTACATATACACCTTATGAAGAACTGAATATTGGGATATATAAATAAAAATTGCATTTGCCTTTTAAGTTTTATGAACAAAAATTGTACAGGCCAGATATAACATTAACAAATAAGGTGTTAAACGCCTGGAGATAAATAGTTGGTGTTGACTTTTCCCGATCTATATCATCTGCCCGATTTTACCTCGCACATCTGCACCGCTCAGTCTGCTCATCCAGCCATTTTACTGCATAATATATTGCCTGCATTTATAGCAAACTAAGGTGGATAACTTACTGAAATTAAGGTATTCTGGGGTAAATATAAGAGAACAAAGATAAGATCCTTTTAAACTGGGGTAAATCTGATAAGTTATCGGGCAAAAGCAAGACATCCGGCTGTGAAACATGATACAGCCCCAGTGTTCATGATTGTGGAGGCTTAAAAAAAATAATCCATTTTCTTTCATTCTCATTTTAAGTGTTCACTCAGGTCATCTACTTCCAGTTTTTTGGATTAGCACTATTACCTAAATATCCCATAACTGAAATGTAATATTTCCATAGGTCGAAATTGCTGCTATCCAATGACATTGTACTTTGGAATAGCTTTGGTTCACTCTAAACTGAAATATGAAGTTTGGCATATTTCGGTTTGTTTCAGCCATATTTGTTCTATTGGCATAATATACTGACTTTGCTGCAGTAAAATAGTGACAGCCGTCAGGGACATATACAGTCACCCCACGGTTACGAGACACATAAACACGCACTCAGACACAAGTGCATGTGCTATGCAGAACTTTTATTAAACAGAGAACACAAAGAATCCAAAATCGAAATATCTGGCTGATATTATGGGCTAGTGGATGAGTGGGCCGGGCAGGTGGGGATCGTTCACAAGAAGCTTGTAAAGTGAGCCTGAAGTAGTGAACAGAAATACTAACTGAATCATGCTGGGTCACAAAAGTGTTGCGAAAAAGTGGTACAAATCAGGCACCGTCGTAAAATTTGCAACTTAATGTAATGCTGTGCATGTGCAGACGTGCAAGATACAAATAGAGCAGGTGGTATGCATCAGCTCAGAAGCGTAATGAGATGATGTCATTAGACGAGCACCAGTCAAACATTACACGGCAGAAAACAATGTGATAGAAATATGCAGGTTCTGTCTCATCCATCTATTTATATACAGATGAATGAAGACTATTCTAACAATTATGCAAAAAATCGCAGTCAGTTCAAATAATCATGATCAGGCGATTATGTAATAATTGTAAGAGGCCTAGTTATGAGCATCATAAACAATGATTTTAAAAAGCCGTGCTATACCTTATAAATTTCTTCATAGGTCTCTTCATCAATCTCTATTGTGGTCACCGTCTCTTCCACGTCTCCTAAGATCATGTTCAGGTGCTGATCATAGGCCTTTGAAGACAACAGATGGCATATGAGGCAGGAACCAAACCCAGAGGAACAAGAAATGGAATGGCACACTCACATATGAGAACAAACAGTGTTTCAAAGCACAAGAGAGACACAGCTAAATAAACTAAATAAAGCATACTGTCAAATGGAAAGGCATACTATCATATGGCAAAGCATACTATCATATGGCAAAGCATACTATCATACAAAAGAGACATGTTGAAATTGATAAAGATTATAATAGGGCCCAACAGTTCTCAATGCACAAACCATAATTTGGGAAATCAGATTTGTACATGGAATACAGGATACAAGATACTTTATTAGTCACATACATGGTTATACAAGTACAACATGTAGTGAAATGTACCCTGAGCGACCCTTAGACTGTGCAAATCAAAAATAGAATTCAGAGTGAGGCAACAGTTACAATAATTAAAGTTACAATAACTAAAATAAATACATAATATAGAAAAGTACAGAAGTTGTTCTAATATAGAAATTAATCAAGGTTAAACACTGTACATGTGCATGCGATGCTAGAGCTTTGTATTTAAAGTGCAGTGTGCCTTGTCACAGGTGACATCAGTATAAATATAAATATAAGCAGCAAGGGTCGATGGAAATGTAGTTTACAGATTGTTAAAAACAGCAGGTTGGTGACAGTTAGGAAGAGTTTAGAAAGAATAAGCTAAATAAATACAAAAATATGAATGTCTGAGCCAAGTGAAATATGACCTGAAGCATTACATTAACAATCTGTCTTTCTGAAATTCAAATTTCTTGTGATTCACTGGATCACTGGTTCTCAAATGGGTAGTACACGTACCACCCGAGGTACTCAGAGTTCCCCAGGTGGTATGAATGAAGACTGTAGTAATTTGTTGTGTGCAGTAAAAAATAAATAAAGAACTGAAATCAATGCATAATTCTTTAATAAATCTTACTGTGTGAATTCCAACGTGGCCTATATTAATAACCTTTGTTCCAATATCCCGTTAACATTTCTGAATATGTCTTTGGTATACATGAGTCTGGTGTGTTTGGTAAGACCAAACAGAAGTGCCTGTTGTCAGTAGATTACCACTGGCAGACATTACAGATAAAAGTACAATAGAAGAAATCAGCACCTATGGTCAAATCACAAACTCTAATATGGTTATAAATCTAAGCTTTATTAGTAAAAAGAGTTACACTTTTGCCAGGCATGTTAGATTTATTTTCTGAAGGAATAAAATATTTCAGATCACTTTGAAATATCAACCATTTTGCACTTTATGTTACTTACTAATAAGAACTCTGTATCATGCTAACATCCCAGCTCAAATGTAATTTTCATCACAAATACATTTAGCAATAAATACCGGCTCATTCCGTCAGTGTTTAGCTCCAGCAAAATATTTACACACTGTCGGTAAAACAAAGGACAAAATATAAATGTCATAATCAAGCAATCACCACTAAACTTCTGATAAACAAAAACATTTATGAAATCTCAAATAATGCAAAACCTGATGCTCAGCAAGAATGGCAATGTAAAGGCTGGTTCCACACAGAGAATATTAGTAGCATATATAAACAAAAAAAATACAACAGAGAAATGAAGAGAATCTTACATGTAGTCTGCCTCTGAGTTCTCTGTCATTCCTCATCTTTACATATATCCGCTCATCAAGGCTCAGCCTGATAAGATCCAGTGGCTCTTCTACGGTGTTGGTGGTCTGTTGCTGCAACAAAATCAGAATCTTTACTGCCACGCGACCAAGGCTGGTGGAAATTGGGGGGGGGACTTAGGGCTACCCCGAAGTGGCATTTTTATTAGGCCATGTTTCATTAAAATACAAGTTACTTTGTTTCGAAAGAGAAACAGAAGATTTGGAACTGTTTTTGCAGCTCTATGATGCACATACACTTACGTAAACAAAAGCGTCCGAAACTAAATAGCATGTAGTCTGGTTAATAGCGTTTGGAAAACACATTCAGTATTTTTATTAACTAATCACAGAATTTGGCGTAATACTAATTCTATTGAATAAACAGCAGAGTTGATGTTTTTAAGTGATTTTGAAATATGTGCTGCTGGTAGTTCATGTCTTAGTACGTTGGCCGGTTTATTTTTCGCCTAGGCCAAATACGCTAACGTGTTGAATAACCGGCTAATAAACATATTAGCTAGTTCATCCCTTTCAGTAAACAATAGATGTTTTTCTTTACAACAAATAATAAAAGTGTAGGTTTTCCAACAGTCTCCTTATCTAATCTAACATAAATAATTGTTTAACTACAAGCTTTCTAGCTAGTTAGCCATAGCTATAGTTTTAGGTGCTGTAAGTCACGAAGTCGTATAAATATTTTTTCTTGAAATATACCTTGCATGTGTGATCGTTTTAAACACAAATTCTTATGATACGCCGTCGTTCATTACAAGCAATGCACAACGTTAGGAATTTAGCATTTATTACTAACCTGTTCGACTTCGTCCGCCATCATTTCAAATTTCCCAGGTGTCTCAAACATACCGCGAGATTACCATTTGTCGCGAGAATAGCAGGGCTTCGAGTCTTCTGGGTAGAATAATCTGCTAGTTGAGCAACGCGTTCATCTCACGTCCTCTTCATCAGTGTCAACAATACGTAGAGCATTAAAATAGTAATGCTTTCATATACTGGAAAATATATAATTTTCAGGCGTAGTAGGTGCAGTAATCCAAATGACATATAGTAAATATGCCCTGGCACTGTATTAGCATAGTTTAAATTAAAACCAAACCTGTTATATAATGTTTCCCCAGAATCTGTTTCATTTTTGCTTGCTTTATCCTACTTGCACGATATACTTTCCAGTAACACCGTTCGTTTGCTTTTACTTCCCTTTTAAATAGTACCACAGTAGATTGTAGTACATTGATTCATACAGGATCATTAAATTTTCCACCAAACTGTGGCTTTCCAACTGCAGACTTAGATGTTATTATGTATTTAAACCATTCCATAAAGCACCCCATCCAAGCACAGAGGAATACAGTATGAAACTCTTTGGGGGTCATTAATATTTTTCGCCATTTTGCATTTTTCAGAAGCACTGGCTCAGACTTCACTTGTAATCTGATTTTATTTTCATAACTTAAGGCCCAGCTTTTCATTAGTATTTGTGTCAGCCTTTCATAGCCCTGTCTGAGTATTAATGATAATCAGCGATGGATCAAGTCCAGTTTTCCAAATATGAACAGTGGTAAGACGGAACTAATTACTGAGGCATTGCCTTTTAATACCGCCAGCAGCTGAATATTGATGGACTGGGAGAAAAACCCTTCAATACCACCGAGGAATCTGGGCATTATACTTCAGCCCACACTCCTTTAACTGACACAGAGTATATACAGTAAGAATGATGATTCTACATACTTTAATAGCTTAAAAGGATGGAAAAGAACATCATACAGCTAATTGTGTTACATAATCGTTTAACAATCATTTTTATAATTTATTTATCTCAAAGTTTTGCATTGCACCAATTTGTTCATATCCCCCTGAGACCCAAGGAAAAAAGTGTCCTTCAATTGTAGGTTATTTGTCTTTGGAGGAAATAAGACATCTTACAATTTAGATTTTTTCAAATTTATTCTTATTTTAATTTCACAGCATGTCCTCTTTAGTGCACAACAAGAATAAATACGTTTCCCAACATCAGTGAAAAAATAAATGCAAAAATACAATGTCCACTACAATGGACATAAATGAATAGGTCGGGTTTCAGGAGGATATTATTGTAATGTCTATCTTTTCTGGCGCAAATCACAGCTCCTTAATTATTGCAGTGGCAGGTCGGCCATGAAATCATGAAATCATAAAAGCACACAAAATGTCTGATGTCTGTGCTGTTCCCTGTGCCGAGACAGAAGAAACATGCTTCAATGTCTTAATTGGCAAAATAGGCTGACATATGCCTAAGGTTATACAATAATTTATTACATAGTGGATTTCATTCTGTTGAAATGTAAATCTAATTATTAAATCCAAACACCTTAATATATGCCTTGTGTTGGCTTGATTCAAGGCCTGGCTGACTTGTTAGCAATTCTGTATTCCCAGTGGAGAAGATAAATAGTGAGATGTTTCTCGTTTTATTTTTTTCTAGATAGAAGATCACTGCAACACAAAGATGATATATGTTGCTCATACTCACTTTTCCCAGATTTTCCTTTTCAAAATTTCAATCATGTTCTAAATAGTTAAGGACTGCCCTGGAGCTCATACCAGGCTGCACAGGGCACAAGGTCAGGGTGCAACCTGGAAAAGATGCCAATTCAGCACACATACTTTTAAGCATTTTTAGAGTCATCAGTTAGTCTAACTATGTGTCTTAGGACTGCACACTGAAACCAGAGTCTCTGAAGAAAGCTTATGTAACTCACACAAATGAATTTAAGCTCCATATAAACATAGCAGAGGCAGGATTCAAGTCACCTGAGGTTGTGATGTTAGATACTGGAGTGCTGCCTATTGAGCCACCAAGTTGCTCCATTGCCCCTTATGGAAAAATCAGTTTCTGTTTGGTCAAACCATTAATTCCTTGCTTAGATCTTTGTGTTGACTTTGAGTTGCATGTGCACAACAAGGATTCTACAGGGATTTTTTTTTAGACATTGGGTGTTTCTCAATACCAAGAACACAGACCATACTTGTGTTCTTGGCAAGCGCGATCTCACTAGCTTGCCTCTCAAGAACAAACCTGGGATGCATGGGATTGTACTCATTCACTGAGGATGCAACTGATGCATCCTTGATATTTGCAGCGGGCCAAGACTGACATTCAGGGATCTTTACCATCCTCTGTACTTTTGTTCTTAATAACGGAACTGGCCTTCGGCAAAGGAAGATGACATAGGACGGGTGCGTGAGAATGCAAATATGATTAAGTATGCATATTGAGGAACACCAATTGCTCGATCCATTCTCACACCTCCCCACAATTTTCATGGTGCCTGGGCTGTTGTTGACTCGCAGACCGATTGTGCCAAAACATCTATGGAGCTTCAATGTTTACATTAAACGTAGTCACTTCTGCAGGCAAGCTGTTTGGTTCAGAGAGAGCTGTGGGATGGTGGCCACACACATTTCAAAGGCTGGGGTTCTGCACGTTCTTCACATACTTGTACTGTAACTGTGTATTCTGCACTGTCTTCCCTACATTGTGCCCATTGCTGCTTGAGATCCAACCTCACCAACCAGACCAGATAAGTGCTTATAGAAGGTCAATGGTTCTAGCGAAAGAAGTTTTAATTCAGTTTCTTTCCCTATTCTTCCATTAACCCAATACACCACTTCTCAAAACTTAACATTGTTCTGAAATTTCCCATTTTTCGTGGGACGCTTCAGCCAGAATTGTTTTCAAAGTGAAACTGTGGGCATAGTTGGTTGCACTTTATAGAGGAAGAAGGAAACGATTCTTACAATATTCCACTAAAACACTGCATACCTTAGCTGTAGGACACAAAACAAAAACATTAATCAGAATTTAGAACTCAGAATAAAATGTGAGCAAACCAGCCAAAGTAAGGAAATGATCGAATAACCAAAACAATGTATTTTTAATAAAATTAAAGAAATACGGAAGCCCTGAACCGCATTTGATGAATTTTTTTTCGGAGACAATAAGTCGTTATTTCGACATAATAAGCCGTTACAACGAGATATTATCTCGTTATTTCGACACAATAAGCCGTTACAACGAGATATTATCTCGTTATTTCGACATAATAAGTCGTTATTTCGACATAACGATAGGCATAATTTATAACACTTTTATAGTCTGCCATGTGCTATCAGCATCAAGCGCATATATCCAGTGAGCGTGCTTTTTGCTCAATAAGTCGTGATCATAGCGCATTGGAAAGAGTTTAATCTTGGAACTGTGGATTCTTTTTGTAATTTTCTACGGTAAACCACTTAATAGGATAATAGTCTAAATTAGTCTTATAAGCTATCGTTTTGTTACAGCTTTCTTGTCCAAATGCGTAGTAACTAATTCATACTTTCTTCTTTTTATTTTTAAAGTAGTTCCGTAGCAAGCTGTAGGCTATTTGTTCCTGAATCAAAAGCCAGAACGATAACGCTATCAAGTGTTATGTTGTTTTTTTTTCATGTATTTAGTATTCGAGATCACGAAATAATATTGGTAATGTTAAGCGTTTCGGGTGGCTGATTCAAGGACAATCCGCGCTGGCAGCTCCATAGCGCGCCGAGCATCTGCACTGGAGGACGCGTAGAGGGACCCCGGCATTTTATTTCCATAAAGCACCGCAAAGATTTGAGCACTCACCGCACACCGTTTGTGCGGCAAATCTTAAAATCGACAACATTTTCCACTGCATTTTATTTTTAACAGGTCGCATCGTTTTAAAGCCGACGTTAATGTGTTCCCTGGCCGCTGTTTTTGTGGCGATAGCCGCCTTACTATACAGTCCGTCTCTTTCAGCTACATCAAGCCCTCAGTTGAACTACAGACCTATAATCGGTAAGCCTGAATATGTCGGAAATGAATCAGTCATTTCACAGGGGCGTATTGCAGACATTGCTTTAGCATTTCGATTTAATCATGCGTGTAGAGATGAAAATGTAATATAGCCTACATTTTAAGGGTACGTGCAAGTACAGTATATGGTAGCATACATTATGAAATGCATTTCTGATCAAGGATGAGATGTAGCTGTCAAACTATATATTTTGTAGATGCAGTATACCATTCAATATTGAGGAGCGTTATCCTTAGGATACCATTGCAATAATAATAATCACGGAAGAAAATATCAAGGACGAGGTTGTAGTATTTGTGTAGATCAGGTCAATCGATTGTGTTCTGTTTTTCTGTTCCGAAGACTGTAAGTTATCATGGTGCAGATACTTCAGAAATCTTCTAGAACCTTCCTGACACACATTACGAATGAACCTGTCGGTGATGTTTAGACTGAATTAGCTGGCGGATTCGTTTTTTTTTTTTTCTTACATAAAGCAGAAGATCACGTTAAACTGGAGTGTACAAATGTGGCTTTTGGAGCAGGGCTGATGCATTATCCTCGGCTGCTGTAATTATAGGAATTTTAGCTCAAGAGAATATTCCTGGAGACCCTCATGCACAGGGATCCTCTTATATTGCTGCTTCGTATGTGAAGTACCTGGAATCAGCTGGGGCGAGAGTAGTGCCCATCAGGTAAGCAAGGAGCCGAAATCTTTACAAATGATCAGCACATGTCGAGATGCGATGTTTCTGAACTGCGCATCTTTTATCCGCAGAATAAACCGCACTTACGATGAGTACGTCAAACTTTTCTACTCCATAAACGGGTATGTCTCCCTATATAGACTACTCTTATAATAATCAGGCGCGAATAAATAATCTCCTTTAAATGTTAGTGAAATTAAATTAATGTAAAGGCTGTCGTGTTTTGTTGGTACCGTAGATTGCTTCTTCCCGGCGGAGATGTAGATCTTCAGAAATCTCAGTACAGCCGTTTGTCAAAGATATTCTATGATCTGGCAATAAAGGTATTTAACTTTTATTCTTGGTCATGATAAATAGAAGACGAAATCATGAAATGTAGTATATATTTAATTTCCCTCCTGCTTTTTTTTAATGGGTAACTATGCTTATTAAAGCAGGAATGATGCAGTTATGGAAGACCTAATCTACTTTTAATCGGTCTATACATTGTACTGTAAGCCGCCAGACTTGAGTAGTCAGAATGGAGTAGCCAGTGTTTCATCTTGCCTGGCTTCCACAGGCCAACGACGCCTCCGATTACTTTCCCGTATGGGGCACCTGTCAGGGGTTCCAGCAGCTCACAGTGCTGAGCAGCAGCAAAAACCTCCTGACTCTCACCAACACCACGGCTGTGGCCCTGCCTCTCATGTTTACCCAAGGTTGGGCCTCCTCCTCCGGAACCTTTAACTGACACTATGTCTATGTTACCTGTGTTTACTGTAACAGAATCACACCGCTCAGTGAAAACATATAGACCACTGACCAGTTCTCTGTATATTTCCTTTTGTCAGACCAGTGATTTCTTTTTCTTTATTCCCATTCTTGTAACACCTGCAAAACCCTTCCTTTCAACATTATTCAAATCCTGACAACAATTCTCCTTGAATAAGTTAAATGTTGTGTCATCTGTGATTTCACTGGAAATGTCTAGATGGTAAACATCAAAGTTCAAGTAGGTTTAATCTGGTGTTCCATAACAGGTCATGCAAAAAAAGCTTCTACTTCAAGAGAGTTAGTATTCAGGAATTCTGAGAAGATAAAATCCATTTTATAAGGGGTCCAAGCAGCATATATCTGCTCCCTATTATTTTATCAGTGTTCCTATCATAATGACATAAATGTACTTTACTATGTAATGTTTTCAAAATATGAATTACCTTCATTAATTAATTATAAATGCTATAAAGGTTAAGATCAATAGTGTTATTTGTGTTATGGTAATGACTAAATTGTTGAATCATTTTGGTTCTGTTTGACTTGGAACTTTCTGCAAATGGTTCCTTGACTTGGGATCATTAGCGAAACAGAAAGCACCCTCACTTTAAAATTCACATACTTGTGCACATCACCCCCCTCAGCTGCCCAGAACAGCCGAATGTTTAAGAGCTTCCCCAAGGACCTTCTGCAGTCGCTGTCAGAGCAGAACATCACGGCCAACTTCCACAGCTGGAGCCTGTCAATGCAGGTACCCTGTTTTCTGTGAGGATCTCAGACTATCTGGCACATCGACCATTGATGCTTATGACTCATGTGCCATTAATTTTCACCCATTCCTTGGAGGTGTAGGACACAATATAGGGAAAAACAGAGGGCAGGACACAGATGCATTGTGGGGCATTCTCACAAGCATATTTCTTCACATACACGGACCTTTAGTCATATGCTAAGGACAACAGCAACAACCACAAAGCGGTATCCCTCTATAACACGAGTTAGTACTTTAGTTGCTTGAATGGGACAGGGGGAGACCTTTCCTTAAAGGGGCTAACCACATTCGTGTGTCATCTGACCGTAAAGTGAGAGAACAGGGGCTCTGTGAGCTGTCCAATTTCTTGATAATGATTCTATGTTAGGAATGTGACCTTTATACTTAATTCACGTCGACTGACTTCCTTGGGATGTCAAGGATGGAAACAAAATCAAACAAAGGTGGAGCATGGAGCTACTGAAAGGAAAGTTACTCATCACACTATGCTAAAACAATGGCATATGCATAACAAAAATAAACAATATTGTTAATATATCTGAGCTATAGTGTATTGTATTGTATATTATGTGTTTCAGTGCTACTTTCTGAACATATTAGAATTATTTTAATACAGTTTCATACTGTTTTTGCAAATGGATTCATTTTTTTATTTAGAAACTGCTGTGATATGTGCTGAACATTCAAAACTGTCAGTTGTGCGTGTGGTGACGCTTCTGAAATACGACTGTATCAACAGAATTATACCCGGAATGTGAAATTAAAAAGGTTCTACAAGGTTCTGTCAACCAATACAGACGGGAAAAAGGAGTTCATTTCCACAATGGAAGGTATGTACAATATATCTGTCATTTTTTCATAGCCAAAAACACAGACTATAGCTTCACTGTAAGTAATGGTCATAAGGTTTGTTATAACACGGCGGCTTGTCAGAAAACATACATAGCAAGATCACATTTTTTGTAGGGTTCAGGAAATCATTTTCAGTTCCCTATCTTGGGTTTAAATCTCTCACTCCTGAATGCCCTGTAATCCATGTTAAAAATGTGCTGTACAGTACAAAATGTAATTGTGTAATTGTAATTGATACCCTAAGAGTGTTCAGTGGTCAAGTATAATTCATAGGTAAGTAGCTGGTAGACAGTTTATCGCTGAGTTGTGGCTTTAGATCGGAGCTCTTGTCGAGCAAAAGGTTATATGGATATAAGACCCAGTAAGAATGTTTTTGATGATGACTTTTTTGCCGCCGTCACAGCCTACCGCTACCCCTTCTATGCCGTTCAGTGGCACCCAGAGAAAAGTCCCTTTGAATGGATAGAGAAGCCTGGGATGGTGCACACTCCCACTGCTGTTAGGGTCTCCTTCTACACGGCCAGCTTCTTCGTCACCGAGAGTGAGTGGTAGAACTTGGGCTACAAACCATGGGCATTTAGAGCAGATATTTTTATCTCTGACACAGTTTTAAGCCTTTGATGTTTTACCAGCATGTTCTACCTTGACTGTCATTGAATATTCCCCATATAGTACAATGTTTTGAGTCTGTTCTTCTCTCATAAAGCCATGAAAAACCAGCACAGGTTCTCCAGCCCCAGCGAAGAGGAGAAGGCCCTTATCTACAACTATACTCCAGTCTTCAAGGGCCTCAACAGTATTTTCATGCAGAATTATTATTTTGACTAAGTTGCAAATGACCCCTTCACTTAGATGGAAATGATGACTAACCACCAGTCTTAAATTGCTTATGTGTACATTTAAAAAAAAAAAAAAAAAAGCTATACAAATATAGTCAAAATATTTAATTTAATTATGGATTAAGTCAGTGCTTGTGTATGGACCATTGGACTTATTTATAATATTTTTCCCCTTTGTTTAAAAATGGAAATTTCCTGAGTCCATTTCTGTTAACAAAAAAAACCCTGTTCGTTCAGCTTTTTTCTGTCTTTTCCTCAGTTTTTCATTAAATTAATTAATATGACACAAGACCATGATAAAAATGCAGTGTCAACTTGTTAGTGTCAAATAATAGGCTTGCGATTAGTCAAGCTGATGTAAAAAGATTCATTTTAGTACTATAGCATAAAACAATGTGTGAGATTAATGTGTAATTTAAATATGCTTCTAAGTATATTCAGTGAAATCGAAGTTTAACACAAAGTATATTAATAACAAAAAACGTGCCGTTATAAGAATGATCACTTTACAGAGTAGGTCAGAAATGAGATTCTCTTAACTGTGTGTTTAGTGTTTAGTCTTAACTTTATGAAACAATCACAGACTCAAACTCCTGGTGTACATAATAAAATGCTGAACTGCCAACTCAGTTTGGCTTTTTTTATTTCTTCCTGTTGTTATGTTTTTTAAAGAACAAATGCCTTTTAACTACACAAGTTTTGTATCAATGTTTAGCCTCTTTCAGCAAGTGTATGCTAATTTATTGCTTAACTTCAAAACTTAATCAAGAAGGCAGGAAGCAAATATGCTTCACAGATACAGCGGATAGTTATGCTAGATACAGGAGGCCTATTACCAAGCAAATAGACCACTAATCATTTTAAAAATCGCTTTTTTATTGCACCTTAATACATAATAATTCTGGCAATTTCATGAATTGCCTCCACTGATTATCGATTCATTTTAATCAGAAAAAGCAACAGGGGCCAGAGTATCAAAATCGAGTTAAACAGGCTGCAACAAATTACATTGAAAACACCCACTTTGATTGACCAATTTTCATAAATGACCGGATGCAGCTGAAAAAACATTTTTACAAAAAAAATTTTTTTAGCTGACATTTTAATGCTATTTGCTTATCTAAAATGTTTAATTCAACGTGTCACATATAATAAATCACTGTACAGATCTGCTGTTTGTGACACTGTAACTGACAGCTGCATTTTGCAGCAGTTAAAGTCATATTTACTCAGGCATATCCCTATGGTCTCTACCAGTGAAATGCAAGTGGGAATATTATGACAATTATCATAGGTAATTTTACTGGGGGTGCAGAGAGTGCACCCCCCTACTGGACAAATAAAAATGCTATTTGAACATTTCAGGTTCAATAAAATTAACCAACATTGTAGAATTATACTTGAAAATGTTTCTCGTGTTAGTCTATGTGTAGTAAGTGTATTTACTATATGTACTATTTTTCAAATTAAATTTGCATGTGTAACTCAGTTTGGCATAGCCTGTAATGAAAGGGTTGGGTGCTCTCAACTTGCACCCCTGGAAGAAAAGCCTATAATCGCCTACGACTATAACAATGACGTCTGTAATGCAACCGTGCAAAAAAAGTTGTATGAATGTTGAAAGTTACTGCAGACTGAAAATTAAATTCTGGTGGAATTCATTGCATGCTTCACCATTAAGCGTGAATAATGTTGACACTACTGTGGTGAAAATAAGGCCATGCAATACTGCAGTATAATCATCCATGAAAAGTGAGAAAGGAATGGAAATGAGCTGCATCATTTCAGAAAATGAACAAGTATTAGAAATTGTTCTTTTTTCAAACATTTAAATTTAATTTAATTATTTTTAATCCCTTTTAATTATTCAATGGCTCCTGAAAATAATGCATAGCATTTATAACATCGGTACCCTTATTATATAATTATTCTAAGTGTGCCGGTACAGGGACGTAGGAACTAGGGGGGACAGGAGTTCTACCCTCCAATATTTGATTTGGCTTTGTTTGTGAAACTTTTTCCACATCCAAGTACTACTAAAAAACCGCAATAAATCTCTAACAATCACTAAGTGAAAGACAGCAACAAAAATTCACAACCTCTAAAATATGTTTGTCATGTTAAATTGCGCTTTCAGCTGAATGCTTAATCATCTGTAGGTTTTAAAAAGGAATCTTGCTTATGTGACAGAGATTGACTTGTTTGAAATCACACTAAGGAAAATGCTTCTTCTTGAGCTTCCAGACATATGTAGTTAACCATCAAATAGATACAAGTCCGTACATCAGATAAATGCACTTACCAATTGTAATCACTATTAGGTATACATTAGAAGGATTAATATCTCAGGCACAGACAAATGGTTTTACAGCTTCAGTCATGAAGAAAAAAGAATCTCAGGTATGTCTGTTACAAGATCTTCAAACCATTTATCCTGGTCTGGGTGCTAATGTGTATTCCATAATTCCTTTGTCCATAATATTACCTAATAATTATAAATTGACCTACAGTGTAATAATCTGACCTGTCATAATGACGTTTTGTGGAGCATTAATAGAGTTGGTGGAGGAGGGTCTTGTTTCTCTAAAGCTATAAGGACAGTGAAGCCCAAGCGACCCACCCTCAGCTCTCGGGTGTGTGAAAGTTCTGTTAGTCAAAAGTGCATCACAGTCGTCCTCTCGGCTATTTGAGTTATCAGAGGCCCCCCTACTATTTTCTGTAATTGTGTCGTTGTCCTGTGGTCCAGATTAAATATGGGACAATCCTGAAAAGGTCAGGATGGGCGGCAACACTAGGTTTAAATTTTTATTAAAGGCCACCAGAGGTGGAGCAGCAGGGTGGTGCAGTGGTTAGCACTGTTACCTCACACCTCTGGGAGCAGGGTTCGAGTCTCTACCACGTTTGTGGTTTTTTTCCCCCCCAACAGTCCAAAAACATGCTGAGGTTAACTGGTGTTAAACATTGTGCATGTGTGCCCTGTGATAGATTGGCACTAGATAAGCAATTACTGAAAATGGATGGGTTGGTGGAGGCCCCTGGACTTTATAATTGGTATAAACATCACATATTTAGTACCCAGAAAAAAAGGAAAATCCAAAGATGGGGAAAAAATGTATAAGCTGGAATTAAAGAATAGGCCTATATCATTTGGTACAATGCAACATACACTGACAGGCGGAGGGTCAATGAGGTGATCACAGAACAAAATAGGATTGGGTGAATGGAAGACTTAAATTGCAGAACTGAGTGATAAGAAACTAATTTTAAAACTAGACAGAGCCAACATACCTCCACTTCTGAGTAAGCATGACCAAACACAAAGCATTAAGAGAGAGTTAAAATAGATTGATTGACTAAGGGTGTAGATGATGACAGAATGAAACCATCTGGAGGTGGGTGGAGCTGTGGAGGATGACTGCACCTGCTGCAGGTGAAACTTATTTCTGGACCAGATGACAATAAGAAGTCATACTGCAGCATTTCGCATGTCCTTGAAGTGCAGATAATCCACCATAGTAGTATGAAAATTTCACTCAAACAAGCACTATTAAGACGGAAAAAGGGTGTAACACTGACAGTCACCTTTCACACGCGATGTGGTGCAGGATGAAGGACACAGAAGTAGGCGTGATAAACAAAAGGAGTTTAAGTAAGAAGGACAAAACTGAGAACAACCAGGATGACAGGGATACCGAAAATAAGCCAACACACAAAAAGTGAAAAAAGTGAAAGTGAGTAGTCATTTTTGACACACCACAGCACAAAGTGCACAACAACAAAATGTGTCCTCTGCATTTAACATATATGACATTGTGACATAACAGAGGGCAGCTAATTCATCACCCAGGAAGCAGTGCTGGGGGGGGCGGTACTTTGCTAGTAGGGGATTCGAACCAGCAGCACAAGCATACGACATAAATACAAAAGATCCGGGAAAGAACCTAAATACGCGACTAACGAGGGAGCAAACAGGAGGCAGCTGGGAGTGCTTAACAAGAAGGCAGGAATGAAAGGTAAGACCTAATGAGCATCAGGCTTGGCTAATTAGAGCCACACTAGGCAGGAAACAAGGGGGGCAGGGAAGCAGGCTGTGACAGTGGAAACATCTCTCAATGTGGTGAAAACATAATAATGCTGGCCTAAGAATTTCATTTAACCGCCCAAGACTGCTGAATGAGTCACAGCAATGTGTGCATAACTTCATCTGAAAAAGAAACTGTTTCTTCAAGTTTCCAATATAGCCTGATTTTAAATAATTTTATATCAATTTAATTTCATTATTGATTGTGATGCGCATGCGCAGCAATCACTGCATTCTCTCATATATTTTTTTCTTCCCAAAACTTTTGCACCGGTCTCCTCATACAGCTTTCCACCTAGACACTCCGTTCCACCTCTCAAATGCTCCACCCAATAAGAAGTGTGTTTGTATTTAACTTTGTGATACTGCACCTGCGTTCCTCTTTTTCATGCCTTTGTCAAAATCTTCCCATAGACTTGTATGGGGAAATTTTTCAAACTGCTCCCATGCAGTGAATCTTCATCATTATCTCCAAACTTCCAGTGTGCAGCAACGTGCACAGACTTTCTGAAGGGTGGGTGCTTGTGGCCGTCTGGTTCTTTTTACTGGCTGCAATGGGTCCCACTCCTAAAGTTTTGTGTAATCGTCATCTCTTTTCCTGATAGCACAGACTTACACACTTGCCCCCTGCTCCCCCCAAACTCCGCTCATGGGCTGATGCTCAGGCATCCACCCCATACACACCCACTACATCTATTTCTCCACCAGTTTTCCAACCGCGTATCCTGGTCAAGGTTCTATCCCAGGTATCGAAGGTCATGAAGTAGGGGCAGACTTCTGGATGTGACACCAGTCCAACTGTGCTACAATTTAACTGAGTAAACATGGTAGAATATGTATACTTCAGCTCATATAGACATGGTCACAGTTCCCAAATACTTTAAATTCAATAACCCCTCATTTTTTATTGTAAAACAATTTTAACAACCTCATAATGAAACTAAATAACGTGACTGCTGTGCACATACAAGCTCAAAAGTTTTCGAAGAGATTTCATCCATTTAACTATACCCTTCATCCCTCCTTTATCATCCCAATATTTTCTATTTTTTTTATTGGGGACATTTTGTCAGAGGGAAAAAAACAGGGATTCTGCGCAAAATCAGAGCATCCTTCTCCTTAATGGGTGGAGGATTTGAGAGGTGGAACGCAGTTTCTAGGAGAAAAACTAGGAGGAGAAAAATGAGTCAATGGGAGGAAAATAGAGGGATGAAAAAGAAGGGATGAAGGAGCGTTAAATGGATGAAAGTTGGTTGGATATACTTTGATTTTTTTCCAGGAAAGTAGACTTGGGGGGAAAAAAACTTCTGTACATAAGAAAAAAATAAAACCCCTGATTCTAGCTTAACAACAAAGAGGCTGAGATGGTAATGAGATTTAAGCATATTGTATAAAATTGCCAGTCCACAAATTGCTGATTTTATTCAAACGTTTATTTTCTATAGTTCTCACATGGCAAAATGTTTGTAGTGCAAACCCAAATGTAACAAAAAAGTCAAATCGATATACAAACATACATAAATATAAACAGTAGTCGAACTATTGTTTCTCGTACTAGAAATGCAAGTTTCCCCCTTTTTCCTACGTAGCATACATACCACAACAGCAGTCCATACATCGACCTATAAAGAGATACAATGACGCAAGAAATCAAGGCTACGCATAGACTATGGCATATACGCAGAGCGCCTATTTTCAAATAAAATTCGCGGTGCAACAACAAACCATATTATAGAATGACAGTTCAAACAGAAACTCAGATTTACAAATTCCGACCATCATCAGGTGCCTGTTCCAGAGATCTTCCGTAAATTTTCTCCACATTATCATTTCTGCCTCAGTAAAGAAAAGGGTTGTCACTGGATTTTTGCTACCGGCGTAAGCCAAGGGCATACATTTTTTAAATAACTGCGCAGACATTTTAAAGAAATAAACCACTGTTCTGTTCCCACAATTGTCTGGGTAGATCTGCCTTTTAACACAAAAGCATATTTACATCTATAAGTAACCGTTTGCACACTACAGATAGTTCAAAGGGGGTCATACACTGTATGAAAGTTCACTTGTGACCCACATGTATTTCAGGTAAAACATAAAATTAATCAGCGCCGAAACGATCTCATCAGCAGGCTGTTTTAACACTATCGAGAGATCGTCTTAAGACGCGATGGTTTATTAGTTCACTTTTGAAAGTTCAGTTAGTAAACAACCTTTATAAATCGAACAAGTTACACCGACAGCCATTTTTTGCAGTGCACATGAACGATCCATTTAATAGTATTCATTAGCTGAGGTTGTGCATTTAGTGCAGAAAGTCCCTAATTTTGCCAGCCCTCCCGGAAGACGGGGTATCACAATTAAGAGGCACGGAATACAAGATTAGCGTCGACATTCAACAACGTTTAAGTGCAATTTCTTATTTCCTTTCAGCTATTTGGATTCATATCAGCAAAATGATTACACGTGTTTGTGGCAACACTGATATACTGTATAATACTTCACCACTGTGGAAATCGGTTACATATCCATTTGTTTTGTTTGTTTTTTTTTACAGGAGGGTTTAGAACCACGCAAAAAAGCGAAGCATTTGCTAAAATTACCCTTTCATTACTCAACTGCGCCGTATCATTAACGATATGCAAAAATATGCTTATCCCCCCCCAAAAAGCATCCCCTAAGCAGAGTTTGCGCTGGCTTAAGTGTCAGACTTGGTTCAGCTTCGTGCCGTTGCTGGAGTCAATTTTTCTGCTCTACGAATTTGTCCCCTCTCCACCCATTCGCATCCGAAGCGAGCCCCCCCCCATTAAAGGTGTGTGTCTTCCTCCATATTTTCCGGCACCTCTTTGGCCGGCTTGTTAACCAGGACCTGCCATCCGCCGCCTCCGCCTCCGCCGCTGCCGCCACATCCCGCCATGACCCCGTTCGCGCTGTGCTTCTTTTCCTGCATTTCTGATTGGCCGTCGCTCGTTACGTCTAGCGTGGGGTTGTCATGGCAGCCATTCTCCACGAAATGGAGCTCCTCGCCGCGAGACTTAACAGGAGAAGAAAAAAAAAATGTTAACAAAGCCGGAAAATACGATTTGGATAATTTAAGATAAGATAAAGACAAGATATTCTTCATTCATGAGAGCGGGAAATTGTTTTGCATACAGCTGCAAGTACATAAAATAAACAAATACAAATTATGCAAAAGAAAGACACGTACAAAGACAGAATCCATCAAGTAGATGTAATGCAAATAGTACACAGTACACAAACAAAATAATGCATAGGTAATAACGTAATTAATTAATAAGAATAAATCAATGGGTGTTGTATGTGATGCATGTATGTATGTTAACTCAATGAGATCACCTCTCAGAAACATATATTACTGGTTCTTATAAAGCACACTGGAATATAAATACTGGATACTGGAATATTAAGGACAAAATGACTGCATTTTGCATAAACAAACAAAAAATTTACTCCTAATGCCTATTTATTTCTGAATATGTGCAAAACAGAAAATTATGCAAGACTATGTTGCCTAAATGTACCATGTTCTTCATTTTGGGCAAACGGCGTTGCCAGCAGATATAGATGAGGCCCGAGGCGATAATGACCACACAGATGGACCCAATGATCACCAGAACCACAAAGAGCTTGCCGTAGTCACTACGGGTCTGGCTGGGCCGGGCTTGGCAGCTGGAGACACTGGTGAAGTTCTGAATGCCGATCTGAGGTGAAAAACAAAATACAACAGGATAGATTAATATATAGCTCAGAAGCAAGCAAATTAGGCTTGTTTTCGTGTGTTTTTATTGAATAGAAAATGAGTGGAATATTTAATCCTTTTTCTCGTACTGGGAATCTGACTGGCAGGCCGTGCCAGTGGCATGGAAGGACAGGACAGTATGCATCAACATATAAGGTAAAGCTGGATGGACAGTGATATCACTGCCAGCTGGTCTCTCTTGATATTCCCATGTAATACTGAGTGACACGGTCATTTATCTAACCTCACCTCCAATAAGCCCCTCCGTATTTCCCCCAGCATTGACAGGACATCTTTGGTGGCAATCACGCCTAATGAAGTGAAACAAAGATCATTTGAGGCTTCTGTTTTACTTTTGAGCACAAAATAACTCCTGTAGCGCGTAAATCTATAGATTTCCATCTGCAGATCAATTACACAACTTCAGGGAGCACATAACAAGAACATAACATTGTTCGACTGGATAAAAAAAGACAACAGTAAATTTAAAGCTTTCAGCCATTTAAAAGTACAAAGTGCGGTGCTTATTTTATAACCTTTGTTAGTTTATTTTTTCCAAGAGTAATGTGTTTTAGAGGCTAGTGAGCACACTCTTCATACTTCTCTAGGGGTCTAGGGGTGACTCAGCATTCCAATAAATCAGCAGTCTGATTATCACCTGAAGTTACACTGTGTTAAAGGCTTCCAGAAGTTTCTGATTCTGTACCCCTGAGAACAGTCCGTAACCTGCAGTGCTTGAGAAAAAGATACGGCTGTATAAATGTGTGGGGGAAAAAAAACGTTGGTTGCTATGAATAGAAGAGTCAGCTAAGCAAGTCAACGCTTTTGAGGAGACAGGCTTAGCTTAGGGGAATTAACTGCTGAGATATCGCATGAAAAGCAGTCACTCGTCCTGCGGGCGCTCCATGGACCTCACCCTGCTCGCTGGCCAGGGTCATCAGCAGCTGGCGGTCCTGCCGGGTGGGTTTGCTGAGCGAGACCAGCCAGGACCCCCGGGGGCTGTTCATCTTCCGGGAGAAGGCCGCCTCCAACAGGTCCAGCAGCTGCTTGCCGTTCTCTGCTCGGAAATCGTCCTGACGGACGGGACAATGACCAGACGGTCACAGCAGCGCGGGGGCAACTTAAAGACCACAAACAAAATCATTACCCTTCTGAAGAGAACATAGAAATATCACTGTTTTGTAACTTAGCCATTCATTTTAATTTGTATTTGGGCATACAGACTCTCTTGCTCATGTGATAAACTGAGATAATATTTCATAAACATGAATTTAAAAACAAGGGATGTGAGTAAATTATACAGTATAATAATTGCTCACCGTGTTTACGTTGGCACATTCGATGCAACCAATATGTCTTTATTAATTAGTCATAACAAATGATCTCTGGGGCAGACCAGAAACCAGATCCTTATCATTTACTCCGGATTTCCCAGTGGCTGCACAATTCTTCCCATATAAAGCAAAAAGGCTCACATCAGCGCAAACTCCCCCCCCCCCAGCACAGCTGAAAAATGAATGATGGCCTTGGTTAAACTGATCCATCATCACTCCACTCCGTCCGGCTGCAACGATGACCGTCGGCAGCTCGGCAGAAAATATCCCACATCCCCCCGGATGCGTGCACATCCCCCCGGACGCGTGCACATCCCCCCGGACGCGTGCACATCCCCCGGACGCGTGCACATCCCCCCGGACGCGTGCACATCCCTGCTGTTTGTTTCCAGACTCCCATTCTGGAGGTCCAGCTGCAACCAAATAGCCCTGATCTCCGTCCCCCAAAATAGAAATGAGATATGGTGGCTCCACCACGCCCATAGGCCTCGTAGTGTCAGCTGGTGGGGAGAAAAAATACAGGCAGCCGCTAACAAAAGAAACTGAGGTACGGAACAAGAAGCGAGCAAGAGGAGAGGAAATAAGAAATGGCCAGCCTTAGTCTAAAGAAGGAAAGGCCAAAATGAGTGCTGGATTATTCAAACCATCTTTTCTAATTGATGCTAATAATTACCTCAATTGTGAGCTTGGGTGATTAATGCAATGCACGCCTCTTTTATAATGAATGGTCCACCATCACCGCGGAATACCTTAAGATTAATCTGTAGCTATTATTAAGACAACCGAAAAGGGCAGGTTGATTAGAATAAATAGCATCCACTGTTTCCATGGCGACGTGAGAATGTGGAGTAGAGCTCATGGGCAGCAATAGAAAAGGTGGGGCGATGGGGGGGGGCACAGCTGCTGCAGAGGCCCGGCTTGGCTCGCTGTGATTAAAGGCGGTCTTAGAGGCTCCTTCCCCTGGCCTTAAGACTGTCAGTCTGCACCAGCGATTAGAGGAAGAGGAGGGGCGTGCAGATCAAGGTGAACTTCATCATTTAAAGTGACGGGCGACATCCGGAGTCACGTCGAGCTCCAGCGGGGGCATAATGGGATAAGAGCAGAAAAAGGCATCCCATCCCGCACTGAAGACGAGGCCTGAGGGGGCCACCAACTCCAGCAATGCCTGTTTCTGTGACCATGGCGGGCATTTATTTAATCTAGATAATGTAAAAATCACTATCGAAAATAATACTGGAAGGAACAGCATACTACGTACACTACCCCATGGTACTACACAGTATAAATATTTTTATAGATAATCCTAACTTAACTAAGATATGTATAGAGATGTGTATAAAATTCCTTCCATGTTTTAAAATGATACATTATTTAATGGATTTTAACGACTATAAAACATAATTAACATATAAAAAATATAATGAAAATGTACATAATTATAACAATATAAAAGTATACATAAAAATTTTGTACAAAGTACTAGGACTCAAATTTAGGACTCGTAAGACCTGTGGTAATACACTGACCCATGACGATTTCCTGAGGCCTCCAACTTTATTATTAACTTTAACAGTTAGTATCTGTGTGTGTGTAAATCATGTTTCTTTTAAAGGAAAAAAATAAAAAACTGAACAACTGTAAATGAGAAACTCCGTAAGACTTACACAATCATAGTTATCTGACATATTCAAAATGACGTAGCCCTTCCCGGTGAGATCACTCCAGTCGACACAGATCACCTGCAGAGAAAACAGGCGTGAGAGTGCAGAACATGGAAGAGAGGTAAATCAAACCTGCGTCCATGGCCTGGACGCTCAGATAACCAAGAAATGATGGATCACATACCTTTATTTAGTTGCTTTCCATTGCTATTTATGTTCATCTAAGTCAGCCAGCTAAGCTCTAGATTTACATAATATATTTTCTTGTAAATATAATAAAATTTCACTTCAACTCTTATAAAGCCCAAACCTCGAATAAATCTTGCAGTCCTCTCACTGGCAGGGCAATCACGACTCTATCTATGGATTCTTTGCATTCATATTGTGGCCCAGATTCTACAAGAACTGTAAAATTTGTACCACGGTGGCCAGAAAGACATCATTGATGTTTAGGTCTTGTCTCATTTTCCTTGTACCATGCAGTGTTATCTTTTTTGCTTATATGCAGTGTTAATTGCCGTATGCTGCTGCCGTGTTGGATGTGCGAGTTAAAGACTCTTTGCTTAAACCTGAAGGATCCTTCTGTTATACCATAGGATAAGGCATGACGTAACGGAAGTATACCTGCAGGGACTCCGGGGAGAGGTGTGTGTTGTGCAGTTTCGATTCGGAGAGGAGCTCGGTTCCCCCATGCCTAAGCTCTGGTTCCTGATCCTCCTGGAAGGTGGGGGCCACCTCGTCCCACGCGATGCCGGAAAATGCAACGGAAGGGGAGTGGAAGGCCGAGGATGGGGGGACGGCGGTCAGGTGGGACTGGTGCATGTGGTCAGCCGCACCCTCCTTGCTGCCAGCTGGAGCTGTGCCCCGTGCCCTATTCTTATTGGTCAACGGGTGACCAGGCCGCACAGAGTTAGCCCATGCAGTGGAGTCATCGGCGCCCGTCTGGCTAAGCCCCTCCTCTTCCTGTGACGTTGTACTGGGAAGAGGCGTGGTCCGGCCTGAAGCTCGGCCCCAGTGGCGCATGAGGCCGACATCGGGATCTGTGGTGGTCTGAGCGGGAGACCCCGCCCCCACGGCGGGCGTGCCGTAAGCGGGGCCCGCTGGGCTACCGCTGGACTCCCCCTGAATCTCCCACAGATCCGAGTCCAGCGACTCCACCAAGGGCAGCAAGGAGGACGAGGAGTTCTGCTCGGTCGGTGCCTCAGCTTGGGAGGGTGAGGGCTGGAAGGAGGCCGGACTGAATCCTGAACAAAACAAATCAGGCATCATTAAAAAAAAAACGCCCATCGCTAACCGCCGGCTCGCCTATGTGAGCTGCCTTGGATCCCGCTGTCCGGCTCGGGCAGGTGTGCCCCCTCTCTCGGGGCTTTAAAGCGGCACTCGGGATGTCTGCCAGACACCTACGAGGCTGCTGGAGGAAGCACTGAGGACTGTTTGTTACTCCAATCAATGGAGCTTTCAGCCCAAGGACTAAAGAGGCAGAATGCTGACAGCACACGCAGCCGGGGGGGCTGCACACACTGTTTTTAGCCTCCCAAAATATTTACGTGTTTCCTGGTCTGCTGCCACTGGCTATTAGCTGAAGAGTCCAAGCTTGTGGACTCCGGCAAAAAAAACCATGAAGGGATTAGCAGCAACTCACAGAAATATTTCATTATATTTACAGATACCTCATAAAGCACACACGATGCAAATCTGATTACACTATATATGTGAATATATGTAACAATGTTACTCCGAATTGTTGCTCCTTTTTACTCACTGTGTCTTTATAGTGACAGACCTGTGGGTTGCTTTACATAAAATCTCCATATTTATAAAAGTAAGGATATAAGGAGAGAAGTTATCGATTGTGCTTCTTGCATGGTTTTTATTAATAATGAAGGGGGACGGTCTCATTCTGACATTGTCATTATACGGCAGACACTTTCTACTTCATTAATTGTGACTTTTCCTAAAACAATTAGCGAGAAACCGGTGATATATAGCACAGGAAAACACGTGCCTGGCTTGGAACACGCTATAAAAAAGTGCAAAATAACATTATCTGGAAATGTGGCACGCTTGTCACACCCCGCCAGCAATGGTGGTGGCTTCAGATGTGAGAGAAATTGATTTTGCCCTGCTTTCAGTAACTGTCCTTATCAGCGCACGGCAGATGTTGTGGCCTGATGACATCACAAAGTACAACATACCTACAGGGTTCCTGAACCTCAGCAATCGCAATCTACTTAACTTAATAATGCACGGGGAAGGCAACAAGTTTCTAAGTAACTACCATATTTACTGACATCTACAGCAAGGTAGAATCTAGTGCATCTCATCAACCTTATCAAATGGATGCTACTTAGCTTTCTGCTTTAAAAATGTTATTGCATGTTAAAATATTATCCAATTATGTGGAATTATGTCCTTCCAACTTCTTCCAAGACTGTATTCAGGTAGAGATGCCAAACAGATCAAGGATCTGGTTAGAACATAAGTTTTAAACAATATCTGCAAAACAAGTGCAGGAAAAAAAATGCAATCAAGCTTTTACGTGAACAGGCTTAAGCAGCACATAGCAGAGTATGTTAATTGTTCTCCCCAGCTAATTGCATCACATTCTCTGCTTCGGAGATTAAACAGATTGTAATTTTTAATTGTAATCTTTCTGCCAGTCAGGAACAGCTAAGGACCTCATTTCTCATACACATTCCGCAGTGCACGACGTCCCCAGAAGGTCAGAACAGGTGAAGTCCGGCACGCCTCAACTGAAACAGGCTACGCATGATGGTGAGCCTCAAGCTCATCATCACACAGGGTCCCAGCCAACCTGCACACCCCCACATATGTGGAGGTGTCTGCTATCCTCCCGATTCCACCTGCGGCCCTACAGGTATCTGCTACGTGGCATCACCGGGGGCAGGTTCAGTGTTTTACTGTTTAAAATGCGCGGGTTGAGTGGTGCTAAACACTGTTGAGGAAGGGGAAGACAAGGAAGCCAGCTGTCTTAAACAGGCCCGATCAATCGCAGTTCAGCCACAGGACTTGGACGGCTAGAGAGCGATTGCACCTGTACGACAGGCCGAGCTCTGATTGGGCTCCCCCCCCCCCGGCAGCTCTCAGGTTCGGTTTTTCACGCTGTCACCGAAGTTCCGCTGTCAGATCTCTCCTTGCAGTCGAAGGAGCTTCGATAACACATTGCTATCACACCGTCATTGTTATCTCGGATATTATTTTTACAAAACACCTGTTTTTGAGTTCACTGGGTCTGTATGATCATTTTAGCCAATGGACATATTTTTCCTGTAATGATATGGTGCTCTGGGTTCCCCAGGGTTAAATATGTATTAAATACGTAGCGGAGTGGTCTGAAGAAGGCGAACAAGTAGGAGTTTCACTGTATGATGTACACATCACACATCTAAATCAGCTTTGGCTCCGAGCCCTCAATGTAAAATACTCCTTTGATAAAAACACGTCCAGTGGTCTATTAGGTATAATTCCAGGACAGACCGAACAGGACGGAATAAGCCAGATTTCAGTTGGCTGGAGTGTCGAGGGCTGGAAAGGCCGAGATGCACCGGAACAGCTTTCCATTCTGGAGCGGCACATGGAAACATGTCATTAGATCCCGAGGATAGATTCCATCATGCTACTGAGGGAACAGACTGCTAAAACAGAGGTGACAGTAATAATGGGGGAAAAAACGTCGGACACAGAAGAAGGTTAAATCACTCAGCTGCTTAAATTCGCGAGCCGAAAGCGGCAGATCTACAGCGCTTGTTAGCCACGCTCTGGTTCTGTGCTGCTGCCCTTCCTACAGGCTTCCGTCATTCCTCAGACCCACGGATGGCTTCTGAACATGAGGGCCAGATTCTGTTTCATTTGATCCACACAGAGCAGCCAGCATTCTAGGTAGAGATCATGGCGAAAGAGGAAGAGAGCAGGCCAACGAGGGTGGACAGCCTGTCCGTGGTGACCCCTCTCTCTATTACCGCCAGTCCGACATGGAAGAAAGCCATCGCTATGGCTCCCGGAACAGACCACTGCCGTGTGTGCCAGTGCCGACTTGGTGACAGTCTCTAAGAGTCTGAATGACCAGAGAAAATAATGCAAACAATCAGCCTTCTGGGCTCACTTTCTTGAGGGTGTCAGAGAGTCTGGGCCGTCAAAACATTCTTGTGACAGGAAGATGGGCCCTTTGGCCAGGCGAGGTGTTCTGTTCCAGCGGATTAAAGACAAACACCCAATGGCGTTACAGTGGTACAGTAAAATTTTGTAAAAATTTGGCAACTGGTTCTAGATAATTTGGCCAATGAAATTAAGGTCTTGGTGTTGGGACGGTGACTTCAGCTGGAGCCCATTTTTACAGATCTGAATGTGATATTCTGTGCGTTAAGGTCACCCTACAGTATACCATCGTGGAAGACTTTGTAAGCCATCTGTAAGTCATCATTTATCAGATTCACTGGTGTTGTTTCGTTGCTATACTGTTTGGTGCTGCCTTGTTCTGTCGTGTGTTTTCAATTTTAGTATTAAATCCACATAAAAAACAAGACAGTACTTGGTAGTGTAGTATGCTTGTGAATAACCTCACCGTTACTCTATATATCGAATAGCAGGCAACATGTCCAGCTATCCCCTGGCACAAACGGGTTGCGTGGCTTACAACAGAACGGCATCTTGTCCATAATGTCTCCTGCTTCCTGGGACGGAATCCCTGCATTCATTACACGGTTATGGAAAACTGATGGATGGACAAGGCAATGACTAATTGGATGTCACGTACCTTCCAAGGTCCCGGTGTCCATACTGGTGCCATTGACCTCTCCTCCCTCATCCCAGTACACGGGTGGTAACCCCTTGGCATCCTCGTTCTCTTCGCTGGAGAAGCCTGACTCCTGGGATCCGCCAGTGAGCCCCACGGACTGGGGGGTCTCTGGACTCGAGGGCATGACCTCCGGCCGAGCGATGCGCTCCGAGGTCCGGGCAGGCCTAGGTGGTCCGGTCAAGGTGGGGGACGAAGGTGGGTCCTGACTCACGGCGTCACATGACACCAGCAGCACTATTGATCCTGGGAGCAGTGAAAGAAAAACAGCAGATTCGGGCTAAACAAAATTCCTGCAGTCAAGGCACAAGACATCCAATGAAACCCATAAAGTGAGATATCTAAAATGTCAAATGGTGTTTCCCACTCCTAAATAATTCAGGGACTTGTTTTTTTTTTTTTCTAAAAAAAAAAAAACAGCTGATAATGATCATTCTTACAGTTTCAGATTGAAAAAAAGCACAGCATAGCCATGAGCAGCTGTGAAAAATTCACACTTGACTAGTGTAAATATATATGTAGGTGAACATATATTATGATTATAAGAATGGAGCCTTTTTCACTCCATCAACTTCATTAATATTCTGCAAATGGCCGATTCACATTTCAGGAAATTAGCTTCCTGAATTTCTGGGCAGCTGGTGAAAAAGCAAAAAATTATTGCACATTATCTGGCACAACAGCATTTTTTATACAGCTTAGACCAGAATATGTATAAAATATGTATTGAATCAAGTACAGAAGAATGGAAATCTGTCATTCTTTTTCCCCCACGTTAATTCTCTACTATCATGCCAAGAAGACAATGATAACATGAATAAAAGGACTGCATTTTCGAAAACTCCAATGATAAAAACCGACATTTGGGGAATACAGGAATAGTATGGTCAGTAGAAATCGTTTTTTAAAGCCTAGACTGTAAACATAAATGATAAATTACATGTATAAGGCTCAGCAGGTTCTGATGCTGTGCCTATGAGCAGAAAGTCACCAATTCAGGGACTGGTTGATCCTGTTTTTTCGATTGTGCTTCACTTTGGAAACAAGCTTCTGCTCAATAGGTAAATTACAAAGAGGCACAGGGTGAGTGGATGAGGCTGTATCCTTCAGCTCGAGGTGCTGCTGCTCCGAAAGGCGCTGCCCTCAGGCTAAGGGGATGACGCAGCTCCAATCGGCTTGGGTGTAAATGCGGACTCGGGTCAACGGGCTGGAGCCCCCAGAGGAGGCAATCTGTCCCCGGGGAGGATTACCCGCTCTGGGCCAGACGGCCATGGCGGAGCATATGGAACGGGCAGATGAGCCCGCCCTCAGAAACACATACCCCCCCATTCCTCCAGCAGGCTGCATCGATGCAAATTTAGCAGAAACTTAAAGAACAATCAGCCTATGAATTGAACTTAGATACCTTAAATGCATCAGATAATTTCACAAACGATATTTTATAAGGTGCATTAACATGGCCCCTTAACCGGAGGGGGGGGGGGTGGCGATGATAAAAAGCTGTTGAATGGGGAGGTCGAAAATAAATTTGGCCAAGTGCCAAAATTGGGGGGGCGTGCTCTCCAACTATAACATTTTTTTAATTATTGGCGAGGGATCAGTGCAGACCTGATAATATGAATCAGATAAACTATTTGTCAATATGGGACAGGTAGTGACTCTAGGCTTTATTATACATTTCATTACAAATAATTAGAAAAAAATGTTAAATAAGGTTATTTGGGGCCCCTTTTTAGTGGAGGCCCCTGGACCTCAGTCTGGGTAAGCCTGTGCATTAAAGCATCCCTGGTTAGAAATACACAAATACACAAATGCATTTACGTGATTTAAACCGAGCTCCTGGAATAACTCTTCACTGCCTCTGTGCAGGGGGATGTGGGAAATGGGCAGCACACTGAGCAAAATGATGAAGCCTTCAGGACAGGGTTCCAGCTAGTTACCCCAAGGGGGCATGGACTTTCGGTAAAGGATAGAACGGACAGACATCCGCAAGCGAGGCAGGTTCTCAGCGCATGCTGCAAATTGTGCTCTGCTTGGATAAAGACAGGCAGTAAGCGAATTTTCTCCTGCAACCGTGACCATTATTTTTCATCACAGCCCATATTATTACTAGCTGGAACATTTCGTTCTTCTCCCACAGCCTTTCTAAGCTTTATTCAGCCTTCGGGGTAACGGGACCCACCCAACACATTGAGATCTTCAAAGGCTGAAATCATTTGGATTGATAAAGGCACAGGGTATGTTTATTCACTTTTATGGATGTTAAAATGTGTCCCACCCTGTTAGGTCTTACCTCCAAAGTGACAGATCAAAATATTCAAGTATCATTTGTATTAAAAAAGCAGCTTTAACATCATACCACTGTTTATCTGACAGAAGTAACATAAAATACGTTGATTACATGAAACGTGCAGTTGCGCAGATGTTAATCAAACCCCAAACTGATCACTGCTGCGGCATGCTCTGGGCATTAGCACCGATGTTAATCAAACCCGAGCTGATCTCTGCTGCGGCAAGGCTGTGCCAGAAGGCAATGGCAGGACACAGGTCACTGGATCTCAGATCTTTTTCGCAAAGAGCAGGCTTTTTGGCGAGCCTTCACACTGCTATGAAATTGAAACACTGGCACATATTTTACATACCAAACAGAACTTTTTAATGATTGACTGTGAGGAATAGGGTCCGTTTGTCCCTACTGGCAAAAGGAACGCTATACGGATGCCAGGATGTACTTACTTCTGTTTCCATGTCTGTACCCCATCGATTCTACTTAACAATCAGTCTAGGTGATGTCCAAAACACCCTTCCTGTTAGAGGATAAGGGGAGCGAAATACGACACTGCATGGAAAATGCTGTCACAGGCGAGCAGCAATGCAGTATGGGTCAGTTTGCTAGCCTGATGCTGGCTCCGCCCACCACTGTACTGCCGTGGGACCTGGGGAAAGGGCTGCTTTATGGACAAACCATCAGCAAAAATGCTCCACCCCTCGCCCTGTTCGAAACGAACCGGCCTCTATGTTTACTGTTAACAGTTGGCTTGGAAATAAGGCAGTGAAATGTTCTTGCCTACTTCTTATTGGTTGCCGGGGAGCATTAACTGGAGGTGACCGACAGTATTCTTGTAATCTTGCCTACTGCAGATTCCAAAGCCTCATCTCTTCCTTAAATACCCACTGCTGGCTGCAATCTTTCTGACCCCCCCCCCCCCTTCCTCCCCCCCCAACCTCCACCTCACAGCAGTGGGCTGATTTCCAAAAGCTGCAGCTGA